TGATTAAGGATTGTTCCTAAGTAAGAGTGGGAAAAGTGACAGAAAATCCACCACTTTCAGTGCCCTGGTGTAGCAGACTGAAGGCTTCTCAAAGGTTGGACTACAACTCCCAGAATCCAACCACCTGCAGGTTCTTGGCAATATAATTTTTTTTAACATGTTAAGTGGTTTTGGAAACTATAGTGCAAAAGGTTCTGGTGCAGCTATATTCCCAAGACACCCTGTTTGGAGAATGGTACAGGACTTGCTACACATCAGTGTTAACATACAGTATCCTGAGAACATATGGATTTACTCCCACTGATATATCCTTGACATTTCAAGGGCCTGTACCAACACAACTCTACATTAATGGATGCCTCTATATTATCCTAGTCCTGGATGGTCTTCCAAGGTTGTTCACAGTTGTCCTATAAGGCTTTTTATTTTTATAATGGAAACTTCTGTTGAATACAGTGGGTTCACCCTGAGCAACCATGCATAAAATTGAGCTGTAAGATTTATTTCCTTATGGAAATCCTCTAATACCAAGTAAATAAGTACCAGTAGAGAGCACAAAGTTGTGCAGTTGTTAGACTCTTTTCTAGTTCAGGAATTGTTTCTTTGCTGAAATGGCCTTCCGAAGGTCATACCAACAGGGGAAGTACTGATGCATTTAGATAGTTTCCCAGTGATAGTTCAATAATGGTTATTTTCACGCAATTTTATCATTTCACAATAGCCACCTTTTTTCCAAAAGATTTTATTTTGGACATTCTCTTGCTTTCTCCCCCCACTGATACATCTGGAGAACAATTGCTCTAAGGCCATCTATTATGGACAACTGACTTTCAAAAGATAGCCAGATCTCAGCATCCTTTCACATTACTATTTATTAGTTTATTAACTCCTGATAGTTGATATGATACGGTGTTTTAACACTTTGTAAGAGCACTATGGTATTTCAATGTTCATTCTTGTGATTTCCATAATAATGGTTTATTTATCTCTATTCATGTGCAGGACTTTTTGTTTTTTATTCTTATGTAGTAACCACTGAAGTTGTTCAGCTATAATAGTAATAAAAATATACTCCACTATTATTTTCTTCCATTTGTTTCATGTGAAAACAATATAGTTTGCCTTTCTACTTTTCTTTAAATTACAATGAAAGCTACTTTTTTCCAAAAGAGAGTTCATCCAAATAGAGAAAATTTATTTTGTCCAGATAAAACTCCTTCCATAGTTTTCACCGATAAAGAAAATCTATAGCTGTATTTTATTATTTCAATTTTTTACCATCCCTTTCATTTCTTCATTTTAACAACCATGTCCTGTTAGTATTACTTTTTGCCTTTAGCATTTACTAAGTGGGTTTACAAATAACAAGAGGCAGTATCTTATTCAAATTACTGTGCAGGGAAAAGTAGCTGTACAAGTTGTTTTTCCTGTAATTAGTACGAAAGTCATATGCCAGCTTGTGAAACTGGCTGCACAATCATTGGTTGAAATCCTTTTGCACAAATACACAAAAGGCATATCTTTTAGAAGCAAATTCCCAGAAGTCAACACATTTCCATAGACATTATCTGTTGCACTGCAAGCATCAACAGATAATGCCCATGAAGATTTCTGAACTTAATAGCAATTAGCTTTCCAAAGTTATGTCTTTTGCATAACAGAGCAACAGGATTTCAGCCAGTATGTGACTGTGTGTGTGACAATCACAATGGAAAATGAATAAAATCACTTACAGGACACCCAGCCTGTGCATAGTAAATAGTAAAGTTCACTGACATGTTTAGTTTTATCTCTGACAGATATCATCTGCCATCATGTCCAATAATATAGTAAGTAGTTTATCATGCATTATCCTTCAGCTAGGATTTTTGCTGCTATAACTGGGTCATGGTTAACTTTTAAATTTGTTTGCAAGCAAACCAGTGGTCTTATCATTGTTGTAAAAAGTTGCATTTTAAAAGAAGAGACAGAGAGTGAAACTCCATCTGGACAGCATAGGTACCTGTGTTAGGTCAAACAAATCGTCCAGAAAGGGTTAAACTGAATGACTACATCTCTACTGACAAGATACTCAGCACTGGCACTCCACAAGGTTGTGTCCTCAGTCCACTACTGTTCTCCATTTATTCATCGGATTGCACCAATAACCATCCCAGTAATAGGATTATCAAATTTGCAGACGACACTACACTAGTAGGACTTATTTCTGGGGATGATGAGTCTGCGTATCGGGATGAGGTATTACAGCTATCCCGCTGGTGCAAAAAAACAATCTTCTATTTAATATCCAAAAAACCAAGGAATTTATAGTGGACTATAGGAAAAAAAGAGCAGACATTCAGCTACTGTATATAGATGGAGTTTGTGTGGAACAGGTGGCTGAATGTAAGTTTCTTGGGACCATCATAACAAATGACCTGACTTGGAGTGCAAACACC